CATTGCAGAATCAAGTGCAAACTCTTAAACTTGTGTCCGAGCCCTTTCATCATTCAACTCCAAGCTTCCCTTTAGCCTTATTTCCCGTAGCCGCCTGCTGCCCCACCCATCACACCCCTCCCTGCCCTTCACTCCGGCCAAGACATTCTCCTCACTAGCGGCTGCCTACGGCTCAGTAGGTCCCCCTCCCTAGGTCACTGTCACAGCGCCCTTCAGCAGCTCCTTCACCAGCTTTCAATTGCAAAGAATACAAACATGAAATCCCAACTGGTTTAAAAGTGGATCCTAGTATATTAGCTCACTCGACCAAGTAGTCCAGATGCAATGGCTTCAGGCACAGTTTGAGCAGGACTGGGATGCCATTTTTCGTGATTTTCTAGCCTCTTCCCACCTCCCGTGTTGACAGTAGTCTCACGTGGTGTTCCTAGTCACGAAATGACTGCCAGGATTTAGGGCCTTGTGCTTCCTCATCTGAATACAGACAGAGAGATTGGATGTCTTTTCTTGGTCTCTAACAAAAGTTCCTAAGCCTCTTGTCTGACCAGGCCAACCTAACCAAGCCCTATGACCAGGGGAATATGTCTACTGATTGGTTTACAACCAACCAACCAGCATGCCAAGGTAGCAGCGGGTGGATTATTTTGACTGGCTCGGCCAATCAGGATTCATCTCCAGAGCCACACACACTCGCTGTTGGAGATGGATGGGGCACTGACAACAACCAATTGCACTCCAATCTCTTCCGCTTCACTTTCCTGGGAGTTGGGCTTCCTTTAAGGCCCAAGTGAAACCCCAGACCTCTGATACGAGCCCCCTCTCGTTGAGCTCCAGAGGTCATACTCCCTGCTCAACACATGGCAACCACGGCCATATATAACTTACTCATATAAGAGTGTGTCTGTTCTGCCCATGAATAATCACAGAACTGATGAAAGTCTGCAACAACCCTTTACACAAGCTGGCCCTTTGACCTTCACAATAATCGTCTGACGCTCAGAGAGGTTACGTGACTTGCCCTATGTCACACAGCCAGAGACAACATGATGACATTGCCCCAGAACCTCTTCAATATGCCCCCCACACACACACACACACACACACGCCCTTCTCCTCCTCCACCCCCAGCTCAGGCCTGACCTGAAGATACAGAAGCCCCTGGCACCACCTCCTTTTCCCGACTTCACCTCAATTTCTAGAGCTCTGAAACTTCCTCCAAAAAGTACAAAGTTTTCTTGCCAGACAGCAGTTTCTGAGATTTGTGTGACAAGGCCAGGTAAAATTCAAATGGCTCTGGGTGATTTAATCTGCTTGGGGCTGGGGTGGTAAATCAGTTCGGCCCAGGCTGCCGCAGCCGCCCCAGAAAGCCACCAGCCGAGCGGGGGATAGGAGTCTATCTGCTGATCTGCAGGTGAGGGCCCTGCCAGCGTGAACTGCGGCCTGGGAGTTCCCCTCCGCTGCTCTCGGAATACATTTGGAGGGTCCTATAGCCCACAGCCTCTCCCGGCCTACATGTTCCACCAGCCAGCATCCCTCCCAAGGATGCAGCCCTAATTCCTCCCTCCCCCAACCCCCGTCGTCAGAGCTGTCTCCCCGGTCCACACGGGAGGCTGTAGGGGAGGAGGCCAGCATTGGTCAAGCTTTCACTGAAACTGGGGCCTCGGTGCCAGGTCCTTGTGCACCCACACACCCATTACCTCATTTCATCTTCACAACAACTTAATGAGGGAGGCTTGTCCGTCCTCGGCTTACAGGTGACTTAATTGAGGCTCTGGGTGATTAAAAAACTTGCCCAGGGTTATTACATAGCTAGCAGGCGGCAGAGCCAAGATTCAAACCTAGATTCATGAGACTCCGAAATCCTCGTGCCTTTCCCTCCACCCCTCTGTGGAGGCCGAAGGGAGATGGCAGCTTTCGCTGGAACCCCGTGGTCTGAGATAAGAGAGGGGACAGCCCCTGCTTAAAGGGGAGTTGTTATTCTGAACAAATGAAAGAGTAGTTTTTCCCACACAAGGGAAATGTCAAAGCAGAAGGTAGTCACGCTCTGACGTACCCCCTGTGTGTGCCTACGTAAGGACCAGGTGCTCAACACACATCCACCTAACCGTCACTGTGTAAGCTGTGGGATGCTGGTAAATATGTGCCAGCCAGGGACCTGGAGGAAAAGGCAAGCCCTGGTTTATAGCGTTTGCCAATTCCTGTGGTGTCAATGTTCCCACCAGGGTCCACTGCAGGCTACCAGTGGGATGTCACTGAACACAGAGTTGGGAAGGGACGCCCTCCATCAGTTCTCTAAGCCAATGGGAGAACAGCATAGGAATAGAGCCAATAATGCTGTGATAACTGTGTGTGGTGGGTACTAGACTTACTAGTAACGGTGGAATCGCTTCATGAGTTATATAAATGTCTAACCCTAGAGTCTAGGGCCTAGACTGTATACCTGAAATTAACATCATATTGAATAGGAAAACAAACAAGCCAGTAGGAACCGACTCCAGCACACCACTGCCTGTCAGAGAGGTTTTATTAAACCCACTTAACAAATGAGGCCGCACAGAGAGACACTCCGGCTGAAATCCATCTCTTTACAACTGTCTGAAGTCCGCATTCTCTCCACAGCTCCATGTTCCCTGAGCCAGAGGTGATGGGGGAGCCATGCTCACCCGTTTCTGAAGGACGGTACCCTCCTGAGAGGTCCTGAGGGCAGAAGAAAGCCAGTGGGTAGAAATCCAGCAGACCCAGGTTCAGCTTAGGAAAACTGCCTAGATGGACAGCTCCAGGAAGGTGGTACCCAGCTATGCCTGGCACATAGTAAGTGCTCAATAAACAACGACTCAATGAATGAATGAAAGCAAGCAAGAAAAAGCCCATTACATGCATATTCTATTGATACCTCAAACTCACCTAATCCATTACTGAGCTCATCAACTTTCCCCAAAAAAAGCCTATCCCTCCTCCTATGTTTCCTGTCTCAGTGAATATCGCCAAGCCAGGAACTTGGGAGTCCTGACTCTCCCTCCCACTGACCATCCCCACATCCAATCAATCGCCAAGCCCTATCTTTTCCTCTGGAGCAGAGGCTGTCCTCAACCTACCCACTCTGCTCCCTGCTCAGACGGTCACCCTCTCACCAGAGCTTCCTCACCGGTCTTTCTGCTCTCGTCCCTTGCCTGGACCCACCGCCAGGCCCTGTCTAATCCATCATCAAGGAAACTGCCAAAGCGATCTTTCAAAACTGCCCCTCGGAGTGTGTCCACCCCTTCAATGGCCTCCCATGGCCCAGAGGAAGGAACTGAAGCCTCTTGGTCCTCCAAGGTCTGGCCCCATATCCCTCACCTGTCTGAGCGCTTGGCTCTTCTTCCACCCACGGAGTTATTTATTCAACATCATTCGTGCCTTTGCTCACACTATACCCTCTGCCGGAAATGCCCTTTCTTCTCTCTCCCACCTCCCTTCCCTCACCTGGAAAACAAATACTCACCCTTTAAGACATAAAGGAAGGTGGTTCAGCCGATGATTCCTTTTCGCACTAACATTTCATGATTCTGACGCTAAGCAGGCTTTTTAGATCCTGCTGCCACCTTCTCTCTTTCTGGGACCCTACATTGGGGATCCTCGGGCTCAACTCCATCATTTTATGGGCAGACAATCCAAGGCCCTGAGAAGAAAGGGGCTTGCCCACGATCTCACAGCAAGCCAGTGGCAGAGCCAGGGCAAGACCCAGACTCCTGCCTCCCAGCTCAGGGCTCTGCCTTTGCAAGACTCCCCAACTTGATCCCCTCCTTGCACTTCAACACTTATATTCTCATTACAACCATTACTACCCGACCCCGACTCACCTCCTCACACCCAAGGCGGCTCTCACCTTTCCTGCCCGTGCTCACACTGCTGCAAAGCCAGGACCTGCCCCCTCCAGGAAGCCCAACCTGGTTATCCAACCAAACCCATCCACACCCCACACCCTCCCCCAGATCACCCACCCGTCTTTGTCAGGACCCAGCGCCTGGGGCCTAGTTCACTCACAGTGGTCAGCATCTTGTGTTATCTCGCCCGGCAGGATGTCTGCTCCTCCATCTTCTTTCTTCTCATTCTCCTCCTCCTTGTACAGCCCCAGCTCCAAACACAACTGTTTAGGGTAACAAAGTATGGCAAAAAGAGGGTGACATTTGAGGTCAGATAGATGGAGGTTCAAATCCCAGCTCTGTAATATCCCTGACTGGGTGCCCAAATCCACTTGAGGCTCGACTTTCTTTATCTAGAAGAATGAGCTCACCCGTACTCCACGCCCAGCACTTAGTAGGCTCTTGATAAGTGACAGTTCCCTTCCCAGGTGAAACCCCAAGACACTTGGAGAAGACAGCTCCTGAGGGCTGGGAGGTGAGCAGAGTCCTGAAATCTCACTCCCACCCTCACCGGGCTGGGAGCAGCCTGTGTGCAGAAACGTGGGGCGTAGCCAACCCCCCATCCCCACCCCCAACAATCTGCTTTAACCTTCCTATCACAAATGCCTTGTTTATTTCAATATCATCCGTTTTACTTTTCCGTTCATGCAAAAAAAAAAAATTTTTTTGTACAAAAACAGATTTAAGAGGAAAACTGTCTGCAACCCTGTTTCTTTCTCGGGAAAAAGTGGCTGTGATTCTGGCATGGGAGGGAAGCTCAACAGCTTCCCTTCACTGCAGCTGCCAGGAGAAGTGCATTTCGGAGGAACAGAACCTCCACATTAAACAGTGCGCCTTGGAACCAGGCGCTTCCTGTGCCGAATTCCGCTTGGCAGGTGACACCCCAGCTCAAGCGGGGATCCAGCCCCGCTGCGAGCAGAGCAGCCGCAAGGCTCTCCGTTCCTGCCCGCCTCCAGCCTGGGAGAGGCAGCCCTGCCAGGCCCTGGCCAACCACTGACCACCGGGAAAAAGGCTCCGCGACAGGGAGGAGACAGCTGGGAAGGGGGTGGCTACGCCTGGCCCGTGGCCAAGAAGACGAGGACCTCTCCCAGTGTCAGAGCATCAGGGACCAGCACTTTCTCTCCCCCAATGAGGGCAGCGTGACATAAAGATCAGGCCCAGGACTCGCTGCTCAAACACAAGTTCAGAAAATCTGCGACTTCATTCTCTGCTTCAAAGGTGTCATTTCAGAGGGCCGCTCTGGGTGGGACCCAAGGGTCCAACTCTGGAAGGGCTCTGTTCCTCTAAGAGCCCCCCGCCCACCCCCATACCCCCCAAAAAAAGGAAGAACTGAAGAAAAAACAGAGAAGCACACCTGACCTTCAAATATGAACAATAGTGACTGCCCCAAGTCAGGATGGTGGTCCCCTCCCTTATCCCAAACCTCATACCTCTATTAATGTAGCCCGCTGACTCATCATGAGCCGAATGGCCCATGACTTCTAAATCTCTTTCTTACGAGCTGCTGCTCCTCTCTACAATCTTCCCTGTAGTTGAGATGGGCCCCAGCATTTATCCCTGTGACATATCCTTGTCACGCAAGCCCATTGAGATCCTTCGGGGTCCTGATTCTGCTATCTGACCTTTTCTCTGTTCTGCCCCCTCCTCCTGTTAGAGGCCTGCAGCCCTTATGTCTTCTCCTGGATCCTTGGCATACATTGGTCAGAACAGGGTGGAAGGCAGAGCCCCATAGACCTTTACAGACTGACCTGGTTCCACTCATGTGCACATTTCATGGCTGTTGTTCGGCCAGATGGGAAGTCCCTCTGTGCCCTCACAGCCGCTATCGTGTCCTCAAAAGCCATGAGAGGCCCTGTCCTGTGTCTTAGGAGGCAGCGTGACCTGACAGAAAGGATTGAATAGATCCAGGCCTGAATCCCAGCTCCACTGGTCTTGGCCAAGTCACTTAACTTCCTGGAGTCCGTTGCTCACCTGCAAAATGGAGACTGTCATAGCTCGTGCACAAGGGTGTGAAGATTAAGGCAATGTATTGAAGTATCTGGCACACAGTAGGTGCTCGACATATAGATTCTGCTCCATCCACTCAAGCTCATCTTCTTCATCCACCCGTCACTGAGCTGGTGAGATGGAACTGAGCTGTTTTGGGTGAACCGATGAGGGCTCCAGGGATCCCTGCCTTCTTCTCTGAGTGTCACCAATTTCACCTCCATACCAGGCCCTCACACTAATTTGAGGCCTTTATGATGTGAATTCCTGTCAAGGCAATCTTCCCTTCCTGGATGCGTTTAGTCTTTTAAATAAAATAAAACAAGAATAAGAACAGCTCGATCTTTTCAATCCCACCATGAAATAAAAACTACCTCCATTTTGCCTATGAGGAAACTGGGGTTCCGAAAAGTTAAATAGCCTTTCCCAGGTCGCACCGCCGGCAGATGTGAAAGCTAAGCAGAGCTCTGTCTGACCCTGAACAGCAGATGCTCAACATTAGGCAATATTTCCTAAACGTTGGCCTAACGGGGGGACTTAGTCTCTGGCCCTACTGCACTTGTCTTTTGGACCTCAGTCCGAGTTCACTTGGTTGAGTGCCTTTTGGGTCCTGATACTGTCATCATGGGGTGGCCGCTCCTCACCCCCATCTCCCAGAAGCTCTGTGCCCACCACCTCCACATAAAGTGGGCTGAGGCGCAGGCCCATTGCTCCTTGAAGACTGGGATCAGTGTGTTGATCTCCGCATGCGCATCAACCTAAGCTCTTGGCACCCGGGGCCTTGCCTCCCCCCGCAGCCTAAGCACAAGGCAGCCTAGAACCTCTTCCCCTGCCCTTCATCAGGACCCAGTCACCTGCTGCAGAACCCTGAGGCCTCTGGACTGCCCGCTGCCTCCTAGCTCCAAATGGCCAGGATCCCCACCTGTCAAGGGGCACCCCAAGGCCCCTTCTCCCAATCATGTGTCCAGACTACCTAGATCAGCCGTGGGCAAACTATGGCCCGCAGGCCGGATTCGGCCCGTTTGAAATGAATAAAACTATTGAAAAAAAAGACCATACCCTTTTATGTAATGATGTTTACTTTGAATTTATATTAGTTCACACAAACATTCCATCCATGCTTTTGTTCCGGCCCTCCAGTCCAGTTTAAGAACCCATTGTGGCCCTCGAGTCAAAAAGTTTGCCCACCCCTGTGCTTGATGCTGAGTCCAGCCACCAGCATGGCTGTCCTCCATCTCTGAGCACCAGTCCTCACCCTCCCCTCAAGCCTGGGGTCCAGGTCTGCCCTTGGGGAAAGGAGGGAGTGGACCCAGGAAGCTGCCAGGGCCGGGGCTCGGGCCCGTGGCCACCACGGGGGCCGCCAGTCAAGGAGAGGACCCTGAGGGATTCCAAAGGAAGCCATCCATGGATCGGTTTGCAGACCTTAACAACATCCAGGCAGGGTGCCCAGCCCCTGAGGCCCATGTCAGAAAACAACCCCTGGGGCCTCAGAGGACAGAGCTTGGGAGCAGCTCACTCTCCTCCCAAACACAGTCACCCCCACAGTTGAAACACAGCCTGGACGGTCACACCACCACGAGCACTCGCTCCACAAGCCCATTCATAAAAAGGACACTCACAAACCCACTCATGCCCTCGCCCCAGAGACAGAAAGCCATCCCCCCATTCAGTCACTGTGGATTAAGGCAGGCTTCGAGGCACGTGGGATACATCCGTGGCCAAGACAGACAAAGGTCCGATCCCTAGGGAGGTCTTTCATTCCAACGGGAAGGCCAACAGCACAAAGCAAACTTAAAGGACTAAGTCATTTAGTGCGCAGGCGGGTGGTGAGGACAAACGGAAAAGGAGAACAAGGAATGGGGTGCTGGGAGGGGGCGTAGCAGCTTTAAGTAGAGTGGCTGGGGCTTCATCAGGAAAGTGACACTCAGAGTGCTCAGCAGCCACCTGGGCGCGGCCAGCGGCTCTGGGACGGGACAGCCCGTTTTCCCATCCATGTTCATTCCCCCGTTACGTTAGATCCGCCCTGTCACAAACCCGAACATTCCTTCTGCTCACTCTGGGGTTTTAGAGTGATCATGGGACCCCACCGCCTCTCCCAGCGATTGTGATTTTTCCTTCTTCCTCCAAGTGCTGTCTAAACCAGTGATGGCGAACCTTTGAGCTCGGCGTGTCAGCATTTTGAGAAACCCTAACTTAACTCTGGTGCTGTGTCACATATAGAAATGTTTTGATATTTGCAACCATAGTAAAACAAAGACTTATATTTTTGATATTTATTTTATATATTTAAATGCCATTTAACAAAGAAAAATCCACCAAAAAAATGAGTTCGCGTGTCATCTCTGACACATGTGTCATAGGTTCGCCATCACTGGTAAACCTTCTGTCTTCTCCGCCTCCCTTCCTGACACCCTAAAATCTGTGACCCCACCCTCAGGGCTCCATCAAGGCGGTGCCTGGAAAGATAAGCAACATTCTGTAAAGGTACCTCTCCCTTTCACCTGGCTTTTCCTGCACTTTGGTGATATTAGCTCCTCCGGGTCCACATATGGTAATTGTATGATTAATCACATTTCCAGGGAAAAAGGAAGTGACGCTGAAGGGAACTCTTGAAGAAGGTGATTAAGTTATTTGTTCTTTCATTCAATAAATATTTATTGAACATCCCCAGTGCCACTGTGTGCCATAGGTTGTCCTCATGGTGGGGGTACAGACATGAACAACACAGCTGAAATTCCTGCCTTCCTAGCGTTCACATTCTGGCAGGGGATAGAGAAACCATAAACAAAATAGATACAGCAGTCCCCCCTTACCTGAGGTTTCGTTTTCCACCGTTTCAGCTATCCGTGGTCAATCGTGGTCTGAAAATATTAAATGGAAAATTCCAGAAACAAGCAACTAATGGGTTTTAAATGCATGTCTCTTTGAGGCCCCCTCTCCCTTTTGTCCAGCAGAGTCACACAGTATATACTCGCTGCCGGTAGCCACAGTTATCAGACGGCTGTCCTGTCCTTGTATCGCAGTGCTTGTGTTCAAGTAACTCTTATTTTACTTACTCGTGGCCCCACAGTGAGAAGTAGTGATGCTGGCAGTTCAGATGGGCCAAAGAGACGCCATAATGTGAATGTGCGTGCAGGGAGACGCATAGTATATGTAGGCTGCAGTATGATCTGCAGTTTCAGGCACTCACTGGGGGCCTTGGAATGCATGCCCCCAGGTAAGGGGGTCCACTCTAAGTAAATACACGGTGTGTTCAATGGTGATCAATGTTCATGGAGATTAAAGCAGAGAAGGAGTAAGAAGGGAGGAGGGTTTTAAGCAAGGATGGCCTCCTGACCTCACCTCAAATTTTTCCACTGCACAAAACACACCCCAGAATATTTCCAAGACACCATCACACACTCACACTAGACTCCACACAGACATAGGCACGTGGACCTCCTCTCTGCTATGAAAAGGGCACTCACACAAACACATGTACACACAGACACACACAACACACACACACAGACACACACAACACACCTAGGCATGCACATGCTCACGAGCATACTCCACGCACGCACGCACGCACACACACACACACACACACACACACACCAGCCCTCTCGCTCAAACCTAAGAGAAACACACCCTCCAGATCACACAAAGAGGCAGGGCATCAGAACCAGCAGGACCCTCGCAGCCAGAAGGCACCATGCACACCCTCCCCCCTGTCCACAGGCCATCAACCTCAGCACCCAACAAAGGCACCCCCACTTGTGAACACCTACCGTTAAGCGCACAGTCTTATGCACAGGGCCACACACGCAGACACACACATGCACACATCCCCTCATTCCCCTCTTCCAGACAACAAGGTGGGGTGAGACTTGAAGGGCCTCTTGCAATTTCGGCACCGCTTGTCCCCGTCACCCTCTCGCACCCACCCCACAGGTTCCAGCTGTTCCAGCCACCACCACACGCTCCCCCTGCCCCAGCCTGTGGTCCGGAGCTCTCTGGATGGCATGTGTGTGCACACAAAAGGGTCCTACGTGAATGGATACACATGTGATTTGCAAATGGGGTGGACACGTTTGTGTGCAAGTATTCACGCATGGGGACTTCACAAAGTGTGAGCGCCTTTATGTGTGTGCACAGGTGTGTGTCTGAGCACATGTGTGTGCATGTTCCCAGGGAGACAGAGAAATTTATCATCTAAATCTGGCTTCTCCGGGGATGAAAGCAAAGCAAAGTTCAGGTTTAAATCACACCGGCACGGGCAGGAGGGCTCCCTGGCCTTACATGATTATCTGCGGTGTGCAGCGGAACGGGCTGGCAGGCAGGAGGCAGCCAGCAACCCGTCAGCGGGGAGTCATTTGTTGTCTCCAGGCCCCTGGGACCTGCTATGACTGCTCCAGGAGCGGGAGACCTGGGAGTGCGGCAGCCACAATCACATGCCCGTCCCAGGTGCTGGGGGAGGGGCTGGCGCAGGCTGGCACCGGCTCGGGCTTCCTTGTGCTGTAGAGAAGCAGAGGGAGCAAAGGCAGGAACTCACAGGCCAGAAGGAAGCCCAGTCCCTTCTTGGCCTGGATGGAGAGAGAGGGTCCAGGCAAGAAGCAGCCCTGGCCCCAGGGCAGACGCCGCCCTGCCACCCTCTTCGCTGGCCAGGAAAACATCCTCCGGGCTCCAGGAGGTCAGAGCTGCAGGCACCCTGAGTTCTCCTGGCTCTCGTCTCTCCGTGACAGTCACCTCTGCCCTCCTCTCCATCTCGCCTCCTTTCTTTTGTTTCTGTGTGTTTGCTCTTTGTCTCTCCCTCTCTCCGTCTGGGATTCTTTTATGTGTATGTCGGACTGTCCGGCCTTCTCTCTCCATCTGTCCCTCTATCAACCCAAATCTCAAGACTCCCTTTGCTGACCCCCGTCACCTGTAACCTTGCTCGTAACACATCACACACCGCCCAGACATGTGATCACCTTTGAGCTTCTCGTCATTTGGGGGAGGCTGGAGAACTAGGGAGTAGAAATCCCATTTTACAGATGTGGAAATTGAGCCCCCAGAAGGCTTGCCCAAGTCCACACAGCTGGTGTGGAATTAAAAATCCAGGCGTGTTTCCACTGCATGACCAGCCTCGCATAGCTCCACATCAC